GATCAAATTTTAGCTCAGTGTTTTAGCCTTACCTGCAAGCTATTCTGAGTTGGCCCTGTGCATACATAGTTCAGACATCAACTGGAGGTTTGGGAAGTGTTTACACATAGAACATGGAGTGATTCCTCGCTGGGGTTCTCCCCTCACTTCGGCAGCCGTGGCCACCATGGGCTCTGTCCTCTGATTTCTCAAACCAGAAAGGCTGCAGTTTCTCTATCAGGGCGTCTGGTAATTCACACCACACTGTGTCCATGGCCCAAAGCTTCCCATTTTCTACTCCCATCCCAAATCTGCCTTTATTCTTGCCCTGGAGCTTCCAGGGAACTGTTTCTGTGGGTTTGGGTTTGGGGGTGGGGGTGTATTCTGTCCAGCCTGCACAGTGTCACCTGCAGACGAGCTAGTCTTAGGTGCTTACTTTACCTTATCCTCCAGCCTCAAATTTTACACCCAGGCAAACTACTGTTTCAGTGTGTAGATAAAGCCATTTTCAAATAGACAATGTCTTAAAAAAAATCATCTCCCAAACTCCTTTTCTTGGGAAACTACTGGAAGTCTACCAAAAATGAGGTTCTGAATCAAATACATACATACATGGGTTCTAGGATTCAGAAAAACCAACACAAGAGTGAATCAAAAGGAGTCCTGAGGGTGACAGTAATGGGGACAGAGGCCAAGAGAACACCGAACCCACATTATTAGAGGAGAGAAGACTTTAGGAGCCATTTCTTCAAGACAACAAACTTAACACCCAGTGGAGTTGAAGATTTTGAAGAGATTTACATATATAAGGCAGTGTTTGGATTTGAATTACTGTTAAGTACATAGAAATTTAAACCAATATAAATACACCAGAAAATGACTTCATGCTAGGGAAAATAAAATGCACTGGGAAAGACAAAGTACTCAGAGCATCCTGCGTGGTTTGGTCATGAACTGATGTTACACAGTCATGATGTAGGTCCCGAGTGTGGAGCTAGGTAACTGTCTGTCTACTGCTGGAGGAAGAAGTTCTGGAAAAGTGGTGGGACAGGAGGTGAAGGAAAAGAGTTAGGTCAGTGCTTCTCAGCTGAGGGTGACTCTGGCCTCCCAGAAGACGCATGGCAATGTCTGGAGACAGCCTGGGGTGTCACGTTTTGCGGAGGGATGTTGCTGGATCTGGCGGGCAGGCTGCAGTGATGCTGCTACAAACCCTCCAGTGCTCACCCGAACAGAGAACTGGTCCAAAACCACAATGGTGCCACAGCTGAGAACGCTGAGCTAAATCGTCATCTTCTGTAGAGATACGTCAGTACATGGTACCTGAAATTTAAACATAAAACAGCAACCATATAAGCGTGTCTAGAGATGCAGTGATGGGTACAGAAGAGCTGGCTGGAGGCTGCGGGAGTGAGAAGTGGGGCCAGATGGCTGGGTCCTGTTAGCTTTGTAACAAGCCTTGTAGAACTCTGCTTCTTTAAACTGTGTACACGCACAAGTTTGGTATTTTAAATAACAACTGAAGTGGAAGAGGAGAAACATTTAGAGACGTATAAAAGTGTAATGGAGGACAGGTTCCTGAAGTGTGGGGCTGGCCAGGCTCGTGTCCCTCGCTGCCAGGCCGCGGTTTCCTCCCTCCGTAACCCGCACCGTGTCTGTATGGAAGGATGACGCAGAGAGCATGGCACTCTTCCTAACAAACAGTTAACTAACTCCCTGATTTGTCGGCAGCTTCTCTCTGCTCCAAAGCTGTCATCTTCGACTTGGCTTAGTTCTCTGTAAATGTGCCGGATGATCAAGGTACACACCTCCCCCTGGCGGCAGCATGCCAGAATTGCAGGCCCAGAACCCCATGAAAGTTAAGATGCCAGTCTGGGCACCTGAGGAAAGGACAGACATTTCACCTGCTCGGTCTCTGAGGTTTCAGTCACCACAAGAGTAATTTGCAACATCTGCTTTAAGGACAGCATCTGGTTCCAAAGTCTCGTTTCAGGTTAAACTGAAGGTTCGGTCTGTTTTAAGGGCTGGGAAGCTAAAGCACGGCTCTCTGCGACTCTGTCCCTCCGCCCTGGTCAGAGGATGGAGCTGCATGTCCTCATCCTGCCTGGTGGGTCGTGGGCTTGTGGATTCCAGCCTGAACTGTGCTGTGGTGCTTCTGGGGCTTCTCGCTGGCACCTCTGTGCCATCCTGCACACTGACTGACCCACAAAAGCCCACACTGCCCCTGCTCTGACCTTGGCATGTCTCTTGCTTTGGGGGCAAGACTCCGTCCACAGCTTATTCCCTGGCAGAGCAGGGGGAGGATGTAAGTTGGGTGTGGCTGAGAGGTGGTGGATGGACACACATGAGGGGCTAAGGCAGCTGGGCTCCCAGCTCCCCCAGCGCTAAGCAGGCTTGAGAAGCAGGGGTGTGCAGCTGGGGGTGCTGCTCCCACAGCCGGGTGCTCAGTCTTGGGTGAGGGTGAGCCTCAAGGCCGCCAGGCCCTAGGGGCACCTGATTTTTCCCACCCTCTTGGCAACTCAGAGAGTGGGAGGTGGGCCCACATCACCACATTTCACTCATCAGGCAGCTGGTGCATCGAGAGGCCGGTGGGCCGCCCTCGGGCCCCCAGCTAGTAGGTGGTGTCAGGACGCAAGCTGGGTTAACGTCACACTTCTGGAGGTATGGGGTTCTAGAGAGTTGGGCCCAAAGTCATGGGCGTCATCAGGAAGCAGTGGGACCGCTGGACGCCTGGATTGTGGCCAGGGGCCAAGTTGCCAGCCCCACCTCCCTGACAAGCAGCCTTGGGTGCCGAGCACCCCAGACCCTGGGCTGGAGCCGAGCTCTCCATCAGCCACGTGGCCTGTGCAGTCACTCTGCCTCCCCAAGTCAGTGCTGGGTGTCAGGGCTGAGTGAGGTGCCACTAGCTTGAGCCCTGCCAGCTGCCTGCACTGACCCACGGACACAGCAGAGCCCGGTCCTCGCCTCCGCCCCCAGCCACTGGACAGGAGGCTGGCCGCACTGCAGTCCCCTTGGGGAGCTCCCCACGTCCTCAAGGGGCCTCAGCCTGGTGGCTCCAGACCTGGTCTGGGTCTCCCCACCTCTCTGCCTCCGTCGGGGCCCTGGTGCCCATGTTCCCCAGCACGGATTCTGCCATTTCTGCCCTCGTCCCCATCCCCACCTGCATCCGGAGCGACTGATCCGCCTAAAATGTGCATTAGCCTCATCACTTTCGGGCCCCAAAATGAACTTCTCACCTAGCATTCGAGACCCACTGATCGGGCCTTGGGCCACCCAGAACCTGGGCTTTTCTTCTACTCTGTCTGCTCACACTGTTCAGGCCCCCCACCCCCGCCATCTTGCTGTCCCACAAACACTCCAGGCTCGTCCCCACCTCCGGCCTCAGCCCTGGCCGTGCCCCTCCCCCCAGTGCATTCAGCCCTTGCTCCTGGTCCCCGCATCTGCCCCCTCTCTCCTCTCACTGGCTTGGCTCTCTTTAGTGGCACTCAGCACACCTGAAATGATATCTGTCCACTGATTTGTGTGCCATCCAACTCCCCCATGAGAGCGTAAGCCCCAGGGGGCAAGGGTGGACCATCCACCAGGATCCTGCGCACCTCCGGGACTGAGTGGGCTCTCAGAGCAGGAGTGTTGGTGGAATGAACAAATGAATGAATTCACTCCTGAGCCACAGTCACTGCTCCGGTGCTGGTGGGGAAGAGACGGAGGGGAGCTTGGACCCTGAGTGTCAGGCTGGCCAAGCTGGGCCCTGTGCTGCTGCCCCAGGAAGCTCAGGGACAGCCATCTCTCCTCCTGGCCCAACTCCCCAGCTCCCCCTATGTCCTGAGCTCACCTGGATTCCTGACCACATTCTGAGAAACCAGTGAAGAGCAGAGCCACTAGGTGTCACTTTGCAAAGACCACAGCTGCTGCCCAGTCAGGCAACTCTCCCCTACACCGGCCCCTCCTGAACGATCCTGCCCTGGCTGGGGGAAGGCCCGCGGCCCCAGGACAGGGGAGGGTGCCTCCTGGCCAGGGTGCCCGGCCAGGTTCCTGGGCCCCAGGCAAACTGGGGGTAAAGCAGGATGAGCTGGCCTGGAGGAGACCTTCAGAGATGGTCGGAGCCTTCACTGGTGTCCCAGCTGAGGGGCCGGGCACCGCGTGCTCCCTGGTTGCATGGGTGGTGGGTCTGTGAGGCCATCAAGCCCTGCCGACGCTCCTGTCTGCGGCCACGCCGCACTCGGAAGGCTTCTAAGGACTCCACAGCAGAGAAAGCAGCACAGCAAAACGGGGACTGGCATTCGCAGGCTGAGCGGGGTTTCAGTGCTTCCGTTAGTTCTTGACAACCAGGGCAGTTCTCTTTCCTCAAGAGACGGTACTCAGGGTGCTCGTGACTTCGCCTTCCTGTGCGTTTGTTCTCAGGGCTGCCCTCTGTGCTTGGCGCCCACACCGGGAGCTGTGGGGACGGCAGGTGCCAGAGCCCACGTGGAGGGGGTCCGTGCAGGGGCCCTGGAGGGTGCGGAGGTGATGGAGGGAGGCGTCACTCAGGGAAGTTCCCTCCCACGATGGAGCCGGGTCCGGCTGGTTTGGCAGACGTGGTGCGCGGTGGACAGAGCTGCCGGCTAAGCTTCACGAGGTGCCCAGTGCCCGGGGACTGGGGCCCCGCACTGCTCACGGGATGTCACCTCGGGACCTGTCTGCATTTCCACCCTGATGGCAAAGGGGGAGGTGAGGGGCTGACAGGTGCCAAGAGCTTGGCGCACACCGTGGAGGCCCCAGTGGAGGCAGCGGGTCCCTGAAGCTGCCGTCCCAGAGATAAGCGGGGCTGACCCGTTGCTATTTGCGCCTATGAGCCAAGCTTCCTGCCTTTTCCGGCCTGTGGGCGAGGGAGGAGGAAGAGGGAGGCCGCGCGGGGAGACAGGAGACGGGCAGTGTCCTGTGACGCGTGTTCCCAAATGTGTGAGAAGAGATTGAGCGCACCTGCCCCCCCCCACCAGCCGGGCGCCGGCTCCTTTCGCTCACAGCCCTGCCCCCTCTTCCTGTAGGTTAACAACGAGAACGTGGTGAAGGTCGGCCACCGGCAGGTGGTGAACATGATCCGCCAGGGAGGGAACCACCTTGTCCTCAAGGTGGTCACGGTGACCAGGAATCTCGACCCGGATGACACCGCCAGGAAGAAAGGTGCCCACCCTGTGCTCTCCCAGCCATGAGCCCCGCCTGAGGGATCAATAGGGAGTAGGGGCCCTTCTCCTGCCTCCGGTGCTTGGGCACTTCCCAGGATGTCCCCCATCTCCTTCCACTGGGGTGGGTTCTGATCCCTCCACCAAGAGTAGGAAGAAGCCAGAAAGGGATGTTACAGGTGACTCAGGCTTACCCACAGGGCAGTGGCGGCCTCAGGCCAGGGCTGTGCTTAGCAGACCAGGGGCCTGGGGGCCCCCACTCCAAACTGACTTGCCCCAGTCACTGCAATTTGGTGACGGGTCTTGCCCGCAAGTAGCCTGGGCCCACTGTGGAGAGAGGGCCAGCTTACCCACCCTCCTTCCCAAGGGAGGTCACAGCTGGGGGACACTGGCGCTGAGGGAGGCCTGCAGAAGGGAGCCGGGAGCAGGCCAAAGGCACCTGGGGCAAGATGAAGGCTGGAGTACCAAGTTAGCACTTCCAGCATTTCTCAAGGACAAGTGCACGCCCCTCTCCCACCCACCCTGCCAGGAGCCTTCAGCCCTGGAGACAGCAGTCAGCACAGCCAGGGAGGACTGCCTGGAGGAGGGGGGCTGAGATGTGGGAGGGGAGGG